AAATAAGGGTTAGCTAAACATGGCTGTCAAAATATTGTTATGGCAACATGAGGTTTTCTCATAAGTGAACTTTTTTTCAAGAAAATGCCCAGAATACCATGGTGTTACTGTAGCAAGACGACATACACTAAAGTAAACAGATACTTGTTTTTACTAAAAAAATAAAGAACTCAGTTGTTTTAAGAGAGATGATGATCTTTCTTTACTTATTGAACATCCTGTTCAGGAGAGTGACTGAAAAAAAGTCAAGGCTGCAAAGCCAGACTTTTTTCTTTACCTACAGCTAGAACAGATAGAACAGTAAACTTCACAACTCTTTTGGCACAACTCAAGACTTATACAAGAGAAGACAAAGTAATGGTCGTGTCTGTGGTTTCTATCAACACAGCAGTGAGGTTCTTCTTCTCTTTCACAACCTGCTGACTGCGTGAAAGCATGCATCCACTGGGCGTGAAGCACATAACCAAGAGAGGGTTCAAAAGTTACACCCCAAGATAGAGCAATGAGTCTTTTCAGGATGTGAAAGTTTTGACAAACGAGGTAAAATGTCCCACATTCAAGAAGGTCACAAGTACAAAGCAGGTCGCTGGGGCAGGAAATCACAACATACCACAAAGAGCCTTGAGAGAAAATACCCTACACTGCTTTGTTCAATCATTCATACTCATGCAAGCCCTTGCACAATATGTCAAAAGCATGAATCTTATGAGAGATGAGATCCAATCCCTGACGACAGCATACTCAACGCAGGCAGCATACAGTAAGTAACAAGTGTTTAAATGGCGAAGTTAAAAGGGGCTTTGAAACGGAGGGGAAATCGAATAAAGAAAAGTTAAACCCAAATGTCTCCATGTCTCTGAGAGTAAGAGGCAGTATATGGTTACTTTAAGTGGGTTATTCTGCTTCTAGCATTAATTTCATCATGTGCTGAGAATAGGCAATGGCTCTGACACTCAAATCAGTATAATACATTCTCATGAAAGTCCTGCTTGTCTCAGGCCCTTAACTAGCAGCATTACATGGATGTAGAAAGGCATAGGAGGCTTTATGCAAGTGCCAGTACTGATGTCATCACAGGGACTCCCAGCATGCTCTGCCCACGCCCACTCAACAGGGCTCCTATCAGTCGCTGTGGGCCCAGCTGGTACTTCGAGATTAGACCCAGAGTCTGGCGATGGTCTCACTGAATAAACTCCAACATACGTCTATGTGGCACTTCCGTTTTTCTAATTTAAGACTATGGCATTTCACATAGACCTTGTGGCTTTCCTCTGCAGAGAGGATGTTGCAACCTGTGCCCCCTCCCCCCCACTGGTGACACCCAGTGTGTTTTCTGTTTCACTTGTCTGAAGAGGATTATCATGTTTTCAACTGATTCTTCTTCTATAAGCCTTTCACTCGTTCCACCATCTGTCAATGCAAGTTAGACCGACACAATTGTCTTACCTTTAAGAACGCTGTATAAAAAGTGTGTTTTCCTCTTTCCTTTTCACACAAGGACACTTCACACTCTTTTAGAACAAATTCCAAAAACAACTGATGTTTTCCCATCTTTGAGACTGTTTTCATAAACCACATTTGTTAATCTGGATCAAGAGCAACTCAATACTTCCTCAGTGTGTGGCAAAGTACACGCCGCAGTTTAAGTCTACTTTCTTTTACATCACAGACCAACAGGGATAAGATGCTCTATGGTTAATCCCACAATGGGAATTTGAGGGAGGGTAACCTTACAACCTGCTTGTGTCTATGGAAACGGTTGAGCAGCAGCAGCAGCAGCAGCAGCAGCAGGGCAGCGCGCTCAGTGGCACGTGGCCCATTAATTAGTGAGGGGAACCACACCACTCCTCTGTTTCATGCCTGAGTTGCGGCCACACACCTTCACACGCATTCACTCTTTCCAACAAGTACAAGCATGTGCATAGACAGATGCGCAGAAAACAAAGAAAACATCCTACGACACAAACAGTGAGACATTCTCTTGTTATGACTTTTGAGAGACTGCAGGTCTATGTTCTACCCTTCAGGCAGAAATGTCTGGGATGTGCAACATATTGCAGCATTGCATGCAATGTGTCAGGAAATGAACCAAAAGGACATCAAACATGACTAATGCAATCAAATCAAAATGCAATTTAAATCTATGAAGTAGTGTCAAGTGTGCTTCAGTCAGTTACATCTTGACTCGGAGCACAACACCAGCTGATTTTAGTGAGGTTAAAATGTTGTTCGACAAAGTGCTTAGTATTGTCGTTGGACTGGGTCCAAAGGGGTATCTACAATACAATCATAGAATGTCAGCATTTACAAAAATCTGCACAACATTGTATTAATGTATTCCTGTATTGTATGATCTCCAAATGATGATGAACAGTGATACTGTGAACTTGTGACACAGTAATCCCGAGAATGTCAACAACAGGTTGCTTGTGTGCATGCGTTTCCTTCTGCTAGGATCTTGAAAAATGAATTCTGTGAAATAGATGGGTTAATTCTGTCAAATATGTACTATGTGTAACGTTTAGCAAGGTTGTTGTGTTATCAATCAAGTGAATATATAAGTTACTAGATTTCATGAATTCTTTGTGAATTAGGGAAAATTCAAAAGAAATGCGAGTATGTGAAATGCCAACACACTTTTTAGATGATTGGGTGTCAGGATGTGAACTCATCATGCAGTTAACCAGAGGTTATTGACCTTTCTGGCATGTGAGTCTTCCAAAAACAAAACCGTTTCCAGCAGTTTGACCATAAGAAACATAACTAATAACTTTTAGAAGACATAACTCTATGCAATATCTTACATTAAAAGTTGAAAGATCGGATAAGCTTATAAAAAATATACAATTGTGTGAAGCAATTCACTTTCCTCTGTTGTCAATCATTTCTTGACCACTTATCTGCAGTGGAATATCAACAATAGAAAAGTTGCATGAGGGTTATATTGCATTTTATGAGAACTTCTGTCGCGGTGTTCCTGTGATATAAACACACTCCTCTTGCGAAACTAAGTGAGTTGTTATTCTTCCAATGATGACATTAAACTTTAGAGAGCCAGTTTGACAGGAGCACTCTGTCCTCTCAATGAACACTTAACTATATCTCAAAGATACATGTCGTTTACAAGCGGGGTCCTTGCCACCTGCAAATGACAAGTATTCATATAAGAGACAGTCAGTATTGTTCTTCTCCTGCATGTCACACACCCGAAAGCAGGTTTGTATTCCACTCATGCCCCCAACAGTCTGATAAGCAGCTGAATTCACTTGTGACAGAGATATCAAGCCCCCCCCCCCGCCCCCTCGCTATCAAAGATTAACAACGGAAAACATGTGCGATACACCCCTTGATGCCTTTTTCTCCCACACATGAGATGATTATACTGAAGTTCAAGAGCTGTTGTCCCCTGATGAAGTCCCCCGATTTCCTCTCTTGGCCTTCATTTGCTCCCACTCTGCCTCCCCCCTCTTAATCTGACAGATGCAGGTGTGGCGCTGTCCTCCCCCAACCCACTCAAGGAGAGGAGACAGAAACTAAAGCAGAGGCTTGACATTTGTATAAGAAAGAGAAAATGTGGGGACACATAACAAGTCGGTGAACTTGCCAATTACTCAAGTGGGATCATGCTCAACTCAATGATAAACCACAAATAGTGTGTGCTGCATGTTCAGCTTTAGTATGAACAGTGTCTAAAGGCTTCTTAAAATGGAAAGCACCTTCTGTTCATTCTTTCCCTCAGCTTTAAAACTAAACTGAAAGCATTGTTTGTTTACATGGTATACTGGTTGCTCCACTTGTGTTTCTCTCTGCTACCCACAGGACTCCTCACATGCTAGCTCTGCTCAAAAGATACATTATTCGACAACTTACATAAGGTCAGACCTGTGGCACATAGGAAGGATTTTGACTATTTACATTTAATGTTAGTGCAAACAAGCCACCCTCGGGACGTATCTTCCAATGTATGCGCTTGTGTTTAATTTCTCCATGTGTGTATACTGTCCCGTAAAAATAAAATACCAAAATATGGTGGAGTCTAAAAAAAATACTTCATTTTCTGTTGCAGACCTCTGGTAAGGCATCACTTCTTCCACTGAGGCCCATGCTGCGTCAAAGACCTTCACTGTGCTCAGCTGGGCAGTGCACACAGAGTGCCTGTGCCATGCTTCACAGAGGGGCTGACCGGCTAACAGATCCAGATTAAATAACGCCTCTGAGCCAAAAGTGCTGCTGCTGAGGTTGGAAAAGAGCTGATAAACTAATGAAGAGTGCTTTCACTGTCACTGTGGATGCTTCACAGCGATGAGTGGGTGTTTAGGACTGTTCTGAACCCCACAGATGTTTGTTCACAAGAGAAGTCAGTGCTCTCTTTTACTAAAACGGTGTGGATTATATGCGAGAAAACAAGTGACTTCATAAAGACACTCAGAAACAGGAAGAAAATAGGATAAAGTGGATCTCAGCAAGAGGATGTCAGCCGTCCTTGAGTACAATGAATGATTATTTTTATAAACAGGTAGATCCTTTTATCTGAAATCAAATCAAATCTGTGATAACTCTGATTGACAGAGGATCGACCACATAGTTCAGTTCACACAATCTCAGCAATGTGAAGCATCTACAGGTGATCAGAAGTTGTTCACAACTCTATCAGGAAATATTCTAAGAATGTTGACATATGATACAGTCCTTCTGGTGTGATTGACATCTAAAAACCAACACAAAAAAAGAAAATGTATGTTTTATCCCTAAATGGACTGTATTTTTTAAAAAAAAGGGACAAACTTGTAACCTTTCCTTGAGAACACGAGTGATCAGGGGGAGAAGTGACATTTAAAACGTAGATAGTCAAGAAACATTTCTAACATAACTCAGTGTTACTGAACTTGGCAACAGGTGAGAGACTTATCATTGAAGTTTGAGGTGATTATAACATCTAACAGGGTTTATCATGGCATGGTCCTTTTACAGGTGCCTCGTGTCTCTGAAATCACACTCACCTTGTAGACCTTTCCAAACGCACCGTCTCCCAGCTCGCCAATAATCTCCCATAGATCGTTTGGGTTGATGTCCCGGTGAACGTGCTCATACTGCTTGACTTTCTTTTTCATCTCAATAGTAGGCAGACGGAGTATCCTGCTGAATCTAGCGAATGCCATTATTGACAATGCAACAATATCCACCTTAAAAAAAAAAAGTATGATCAGGCTCTACGCAGAGAGCATTACGCACACAGAGAAGCGCAGCCCGTCAAAAAACAGTCAAAACGCAAAATTACTAGTCTTCACTTCCCGCGTCCGAGAGAAAAAAAGGGTAAAACAAATTCAGAGAAGTTATTCTACGCAGTCCATGAGTACCAGGTGCTCTGAAGGCTCTGCAGTTAAAATCCCATTCACAAAGTGCTGAGGACGCGCGCTGACCACCTGCCGCTGCTAACACGATGGAGTAACCGCCCGCCTGTCAGCCTGCTGGGCAACTTGTTGCTTCCGACTGGCCGAAAACGCCCCACCTTGTTACGCAACAACCCTCCCACTGCCGTCATGGAAATGTAGTTTCTTTCAAAGAACATGCAGTCGTCACTATCGCACCGATGAGGTAAAAGGACTGCATGTCCGGGTTGTTGCTGGGCGTGTCCTAAAACAGCTGTGCCATTAACACAAATAAACCACTGTGGAATGTAGTTACTGACTAATAGTGATCCAATTGTGCTGTTCTTATATACACTGCATCACTACAGGCCTGATGTGTAAGGCTATTAGTTAGGCCTATACGTTATCGGTTTTATTACATAACAAAAATGTGAAACTCTGGCTTTTCATAAAATGTCAATGAATAAAAAACTAAAACAAAAGATAAGAAATGATTGAATTAATAATTTGTTTCATTTTAATTTACCTGCACTGTTTTTCTCTTTTCATTCAGAAGACATGCTGGTTCAACAAACAGTGCTATGGCGCCCTCCAGTGGCGCAGTCAGCTCAGTGAACTGGTGCATGTGGAAAACTGCACAGATACAGACAGACAGAGCAGTTTTACCAGGGACTGCCTATGATGAATACATAAGTATTGTTAAAATGATTGACAGATTTTTTGAAAGACGTATCTTAATAATCGTTTAAATCTTTAATCAAATAAGATGTCCAACATTCTTAATGTTATACTTCCCAAATGTCATGATTTGTTGTTCTCATGGGTCATATTTGTTAGTAAAAATAAAAAAAGCAAGACCAATTTCAAGATATTACATTAGACTTTTGAATAATATCAATATATTCTTGTAATAATAATTAAAAAATCAATTAGCCCTACAGTATATGATCACATCATCATGCTGACAGCTAATTGTCTGTTTGAATAGTTTTTTTGGTCTAATCATTTTAAAATTGCATTTCTGCAAAAATAAAGTGTTACGGAGAACTAAATAGAAAGGAATATGATTATATATGATAACATATTTTATTGAGAGAACTTCAGACTTAAAGAAGTTTTCTTTAAGTCTGGAGCTTCTTTTTTTTTACCTTTTAGCATCTGAGGAACTTCTGTATAATATTACAAATCAGCAAAGGCATTTGAACAAAAATTCTAAATTGATCCCCCCTCAGTCTTCGTTAATCAGTTTAACTTAAACACTATTTGTATATAACAAATATTTAAATGGAGGGATGAAGTACGTTTTGATATCTTTGAGCCGATGTGCAGTTTTGTGTTATCAACCTCAGGTGGAAGAAGAAAACATGTGAGTTAAAGTCTGGGAAGTCAATTTCTGAGGAGTGCCTGATCCGCTGTTCTCTGTACAAATGATTGTTGTCAGCAAAATTAAACTCAAATCAATGCTGACATTAAGGAGGATGTCTTATTATATCAGTCCATAAAGCCCTTCTAAAGGAAACTCATTGACCTTCATTTACCACCTAATTTGCATGAGTAATTTTCTCTCTGAGTTCTATTATATGAAAAGATTAGCCAATTAACGGCTGAATGACCAATTATGGACATGAAGTTTGGTTGAAGTGAGCGGTTTAAATGGGTTGGAAAACAGGATTGTGCATGTATTGTTGCAGTTTTCTTTCCCCTTATCCATCATATATTAGGCAAGTTTGTCTTATTTCCAACGTAATGCCAAATTAATCACTTTGTTAAACGTTCTCTTAATGTCACTTTGCACTCTTGATACAAAGTGAAAGAGAGATTTCATTCTGTAAATCCCTATAGAGCCTGCAGTAAAGAGACAAGCTCATGCTAGTCCACACTGGCCCACAGAGGTTACTAATCCCTTCACTCTCATTACTTGCGATTGTGTTTGTACTTTGTGACTACAAAAAGTTAATGAAGCTCCAGCGTTAACTTGATGCACTTTCTCTTCCTCTAGCACCCCTTGGATTCACATAATGTATTTCATATTTAAGTTATTAGAAAAAATCAAATATGTATTTTATTGTTAGATGTAAGACAATAGGGTATTTTGTTTTGTTTGTTTTTGATGCTTTCAATTATATGCTTATGTTTTTCTATACTACTCTACTCTTGTGCCAAAAACATTCTTGACCAGTGGATGATGAAGAGCAGAGATCTTGAAGTAGACCTCTTTCACCTCTTAAAAAAGGAAAGACTGTACAATATTGCATTCTGTATTGAAGGCCACTAACAAGCTTTTGTACAATATGATATCATATACTTATATCAGAATAGAAGGCATTTCCATAAAGTTTATTATGTGTTTCCTCAGTCTGATTCCACAGTAGTTACCATAGATTTAGTATTGCGTATTTTAGTCATTGCACATGCTTAAGGAAGGACTGTATAGCTGACAGACAGTAATATTGATATCTCAGTATCCAGGGTAGCGCTCCAGCACAGCACAGTCATAGATTGTGAACACCAAGTCCTGAAAAAAAGATCAAATAGATGTTTTTAGTTAAAACAAGTGCAATTGATTTAGATATTTGAATGCAACGTTTCTATTGTTGGCAGTAGCTCAATCTCAAATGCAATTCAAGTTGAATGCATTGTTATCTGAAATTAAACATTCTAGTAAACAGAAAATCACCAATATGCGTGTGTATACTTACACCCACACATTGTAATTTCAGGCTATTGTTGACATTAATTCTAGGTCAACCTTTTTCTGGTAATTAAGCTTTCTGAAATGACCGTAGTGAAAGTGATATAAAGCTGTTAATAAAAAAATAACCACAAACCAACACGAGTTGTCTCCACAGTTCAGCAGAGAAGGCTTAAATATCCAGAGTGATCTGAATGTGTTCCATAATCTGAATCATAAACCCTGTTTAATCCCGTGATATGACCCACTGAGTGACCCATTAAATGTTTTTCCTTTTCTGTTTTATGTTGTGCTGCAGTGGTGCAGACTTTGGCTCAGTGTAAATGCAGTAGATAAAGGATCAGTTGTACCATTTTTATTTTTTTTCTAAGTATAATGTTCCAATAACAAAATCTAACTACTGTAGAGTATTGGGAATACAGGAATAACAATTGGGCATTTAATAAATGATGTTATATAAATACCTATTACTGTAAATCCTGTGTACCTATGTTTTTAAGATTGGGAGTCACCTTATTTTAAGATAAACAGCACAACTTCTACTAACAATACAATATAAACAATTACTACTCAAAAACCTCCTCTATCAACAGAAAAGGCACATGTTGAGGTCCATTAAAAGTACAGATAATGTAAAAAGAATAATTTCTCTGCAATCTTATTTAATGTTTGCATACAGTAAATGTATCTTTATATGTCAGACGTCAGTGCGATTCATTTGAGGCCTGTTACATCTACAGTCACTGAATGCTCATGCTACAGCCCCAATGGCAAAGTATAAATCCCTTTATATTCTGCAAGATGTTTTACTGTGTGTCCCCATATAATATAGTGCTATTTGAGCCTCGTTGTGTTTAATCTATTTGGACCATTTGTCGCATCTTACCCCGTGACATTTCTCCGACATGAAGATGAAGAGCTGTCTGAGAGTGTACCCCAGCTTCATCACTTCTCTGGTGTAAGCGCAGCGGCGGTCTCGCAGGCCTTCCACCAGGGAGATGTAGGTCCTCATTTTGTGCATCACACAGGCATTCTGCATTCAGCATGAGTAGCAATTAGTGTCTCAGTGCGTGATTTACAGCTTAGGTTTTCAGACAAAATACCACAGCTGTTAGTGTGGAAAAATGTTGGACAGTGATACTACTCAAAACAAAAAGTGATGGATGAACAACAACTAAAAGTAGCAGATAAGATATTTAAGGGCATTTTTTTTTTACCTTGAAATAAGTACATTTATACATGCCAATCATGTAAAATAACAAATACAATTTAGCATCATCAACACATGTGACAATCATGGGGAATTTAAAATCATACTTACATGGACATCAAGGTAGAGATCTGGCATGTGTGCCATGCAGTAACTCTAGATGCAAGGAAAACATATAATACATATAAAATTCAAGAATTCAGCATTGACAGGATAATATTATATAGTTCTTTAAACCTATCCCTTATCTTAGAAATCACAGTTGCCAAAACAAACCCAACTGAAATGTGTCTACAAATTACAAGCTCACTATTGTTTTGATCAGATTGGATTAAACTACATTGACGCATATTTGTATCTAGAAAATAAATGAAGGAATACTATGTCTATTTGTCCAAAGTACAATAATAAGCACTAGATACTGAAAACATCACAGAAAAATGTTACACAAAACAATTTAAGAATATATGCTAAACCAAACTTTAGTGTACAATGTAATCGATATAGAGCAAACATGCAGCAGCTGACTTACAGTTTCATGGCCCCTCTTCAGATCTGCAGCCATCTGGGTGAGATCTCGCGCCATGCTCAGCACCTTGCTGTAGCATGTGGGGGGGAAGAAAGGGTAGCTCAGTACCAGAGGCACCAGAGACAAAACAAGAAACAAGTGTTTAAAGATCGCCATGACTCCCTGACACCTACTTCACTAACTGAAACTATGTTTGTTTGTGAACTGATGCACACACGCAGCCACGTATGCATGCAGACAGATTTCAACACACCCTCTGTTTGCTCCAAAATAATTATGCAACTGCAGGGGATTGACAGGAGACAACCCATTGTGTAAGATGAGACAGATGGAAAAAGCAAAAAAGGCAAGAGAGAAGTGTGAGCTGTACATTTTTGTCAAAGATCTCTATACTGGAAAGACATACATTCATAATAATCTCAGAAATGAAGGGATATTCAGCAAGGCATTTCTTATTTCAGAGTGTAAGTTGTTGAATAAGAAGTCAAATTCTAATTTACTTTAGTAAGAGTATCAACACCACAGTGTAGAAATACATGCTCCAAGTCATGCTTTTACTTCACATGTCAAATTGTATACGCAAACATACTCGAAATGCAGAAAATACCCTTTTAGAATATTGACTATTGTGATATTGTAATATAATCAGTGATGCTTTACTGTCTAAATCATTTTAACCTTGGTGAACGTCGGCCTAATATTACATTATTTATGGACAGCTGAGTAGTTTCTACATTTTCCCCAACTGATCAAATGCAAAAAAGTCAAAGAATTGCATTTATGTGTTGAATACATTTGATATGATAATTTTTCATCGGAAAAGTTAAAATGTCTCAATTTAATACATTTGACAGTGTAAAAATACAATAATTTCAGATTATAGTCAAGAATAATAAATGCTCTTTGTTACTTTCCACTAGTCAATATTAGGTTTCATATATTTGATCTCTTAGTATTTGTACCACAATTATAAAAAAACAAACATGACAGTGACTGTATTTTACCAGTCTCTAGATAAATCTCTAAATAAATAAGCCTGTACCCTGATACACGTGTTCCATAATCTATCATCTCTGCATTGGGTAGGGGAGTGTGGTGTTGAGACCCCGACTGTAATATTGATCATGACAGTGATTTATGCTGTTAAATATGTTCCTTTAATACCTTTGCTGTATAAACACCAGATGCTGTCATATCCTGTTATGTCTTTTTTTTCTCACTAGATGGGGCTAATTTCACAGAGTTAAACACCTTACATCTTCATGAGCAGTCTTTAAGTCCAGCATGCTTAAGTGTCATGTTGAAATTCAGCAAAGAAGTGTCTTTTCTTTTTACAAGCAAAATAATATCCTCAATTACAAAACTAGGACAACATTGGCACACGCTGGGCCTGCCGTAAGTTAAGTGTCTGTACTGTGTTTCTCTCCAGGTGTGATATGACACTGGCATCACTCATCTCATTTAAAAGAGGAGTACACCCCCTGATGCCGCCAAACGCACAATACAGGAGATGAGTGATGCTCGTCACCTCTCACAGTCTGTGTTGATAGTTTGAGGTCTGTCCCCTTCCTCTGTATGAAGATGGATGGCCCACACCGAGTGTGCCCTGGCATGACGGAGAGGCGTTAAGAGGAAGAAAAAGTGCAGCGTGGGCTGTAAGCATATCTCTGGTCCCACAGTCCCACCACTCAGCCGTTCTCCTCTCGACCTTGGCCTACTCAATTAACAGGGGACACGGGTGACAGTCCTTGTAATGGAAGGATGTGTTTTACAGTTAGTAGTTAATGGCCATGGAAGGTAATGAATTATTAGAGATTGGACTACAGGAATCTGTCCCTAATGACAGAAAATTCCAATGCGGCAAATCCATATTATGGTTTTTAAGACCATAGATATTCATTGCATATATCAGGTGACTCACATGTTTTTTTTAAATCTTTTCCTCTGTATTTGAAAATGTAGGATCATGTATGGAGATAATCTTATAATAGAGGTTTAATACATCCGTTTAGTTGTAGAACTCTATCTCGATAACATATTTTCAAAAGAATAGGTCATAATGATATAATCCTACATTTAATGAAATAATAAGTATTGTAGGCCCAACGTACTCTGTGCTTACAAGCATAGTATACAGAGCATCTTAAAGGGATATTGCATTATTGCCTAAGGAGACTATAAAAAAGGAATACCATAAAGCACATAAGGTCAGAAAAGATTAATTATGGAACACCATAAAGACATTATCCAATGTTCTCCCAGTATAATTACTATTTCCATATAAGTTTTAAGGCTATTATGAGACAGCAGGCTCAGCTCGTCTATAAAGAGGCTGCCCCTCACCTGGGGGGGGGGCACGAGGTTGAAACAGCATGGTCGACAATGTGCCTGGCTGAAAAGCCTGCGAGCAGAGTGGCAAAGCAGTATCAGCTGTAGGGGGCGCTGTGCTAAAGCTGATCGTGACCTCTGGCACCATGAGAGGAAATAACTGCCTGCAGAAATAAATAAAGTGGAGTATTTTTGAGGCAATGCACATTTTAAAGTGACAGGCATAGACTTTTTTTTAAGCTAAAAGTGCATACATTATCTGATTATGTCACTCAACCCTCATTTGGGGCAATAATGTAAGCAAGACAAAATCACTACAGGGTATTTTGAGTGACTCTGGCAGGACAGGACTATGACAGGAACACTCGTCTACTTGTAATATTTCCAAAATATTCAAGTTATAAACAATAAGGTGTAATATATGTGGAATCTTTGTAGAAATGCATCACAGAATACCATTGTTTAGCTAAGTGTATAATAACGACATGGGAACCCCCAGTCCCACAGCAGAGCAGCCTGACCAGCCCGTGAAACGTGCCTCTCCAGACGCACGGTGCTGGCCAGCAGCGCATTACACAGGCGGCGATGTGGAGGTCAGTCGCTCATCAGTGCCGAGCAGTTTCCCCCCTTAAACCGCTATCTCTGCCCGTCGTCCAGAAAACAAACGGGATTTCTCATCGCACTCCATCGGTGCAATCCCGCAAGTCACGTCTCGCTGTGTGGTTTTCATTTTTCGGGTGGCAGGTGTCCCGGTGCGTAGTCGTCCTCACACCGGACAAGTGAAGCTCTGAGCTGCACTGTTGCTGCGCTGTCGCCTCGCATCTCTGCAGCAAAGCGGATAGGGAAATGGTGCCAGGCTCAACTCTCCGGCGGCATTCAGAGGTAGGTACCTACAGCTGCCCCCCTGCATACATGCACACAAGGTGGGATACTTTCTAGTCAATGCATGTTTGTCCCATTTGATCAGATAACAGAGGCTCCGAGCACAATGTCCTCTGCAGGGAGCTCAGCACTGCGTCTCCACGCACTACTTTTTGAATATTGAATTTAACCCAAAATCGATTACTGTGATATTACTGTGGTGAATGACCTTATCATATAGTCTAGGAAAGGCAAACATGGAAGGGTTTCCCCTTGCGGATTGATTGTTGCAACGATGACTTGAAGTTTGTCTTTTTAACCCTCAAATGCATCTCAGTTACTCAGGTCAGTCATTCATTCTCCTGTTAGATATTATTATGGGACATGCTGTCATCCAGTTTAAAATGATACCATTTCAAACCAAAGCTATACATATTGTCATAAGATATTAAAAAAAAAAAAAAAAAATTGAATTCTTATATTCTGATTAATTTTATGTTTTGTATTTTTTTGTAATGGATTCATGAGGCAGCAGAGTTCCAGTTTGTCGTCTCTAACAAAGCGTAGTAACTATCATAATCTCACGTCCTGAAGAGGGCAGCCTGAGGGATCCCATTTACAGTACACAATGCCAGCAAACTATAAATCAAAAAGCCTCCCATTTTTGTTCCCCTAATGGGAAAACCGTTCATGCCATTCATCACACATGCACTGCAGAAGGTGCTCCACTGGGATGAGATTATGATAAAGATATGAAAACATAATAATTGATAAATGACAGATGAAGTAAAGAAGGAAGGAAAGGAAGGGGACCTGTACAAATAGAAATTAGGGTAATTTTTTGCTAATCAAGTTGATTTCTAATCAAGTCCTTAGCATTAATTAATACGACCTGCTATCACAGGTATTTGAACTTGGCAAGCATGTGTTTTTGTTTTTGTATCTTAATTAAACAGAATGTGTCAGTCAGGGTTAGGGTTCCATTTATCATTAAAAGCTGTGTCATTAATGTGTCAGAGGCTCTACCTTTCCACTTGTCCTCCCTTCCTCCCTCCCTTCCCTCCTCCCTCCCGCCTTCACCCTGCTGATGGTGTCATGTTTTCCTGCCTCCCCTCACAGGTTAGACTCTCACTCATCAGAGGGTCAAAGCCACAAACACATCACCCCCCCACCTCCTGCCTGGCGAGGGTCCTCCTTCTGCCTGCATCTATCTGAACAGCAGTGAGGACAGACGAGAAACTTACACAGTAGTGGAACTGCGTGTGAGTGTGTGTGTCAGCGCTTCAGTGCCTCTAGTGTTCCCACTAGCCCTCCACTGTGTGTGTGCAATGAGGTGTGTGTGTGTCAAGGTGGAGAGTTAAGAAGACAGGACCTGTTAAAGTCAGCAAAGTCTGCAAGTTCGTGTCAGGGCTGAGCATTCCATGCACGTGAGACTCCGTGTGATTGTTTGTGTGTGTGAGTGTGTGTGTGAGGGGCTACTGTTGACCAGGCAATGAGTGCGTCTCAGAGGGAGAGGCCGTTCGATGCTGAGTTGAGCTAAGGGAGCAGAACAGGAGAATCTGTAAGAGGAGCAGCCATGGGGCTCGGACAGTCCAGCAAGGCTTCGGTCACCGAGGAATCAGACGATGGTGAGTAACTTTAAATATTCTTATACGACTTTCGTCATTTTTGCATCTTTGTTGCTCTACTTTTGAGCGCCATCGTTGACTGCCTCATCCAAGGTTGTCCATCTTTTCTGCAGCCTTATCAATGTGTTAAGCTATTCCTATTAGCTAACAAAATGAAGTGCACTTACAGTAAATGCTCCTGACGGATGTAATGCTGATGAGGTCTGCCACTACTCTTCCTCAGCAAATGGAAAAGAAGTAATACCCCTTGCTGTAGCCAAAGTTTGACTTTGATGTGGCCACAGCATTATATATGAGGCAATAGAATAGAATAGAATCAAAAGTTGATTAAGATATCCACAAAATGCTTCTGGACTTTTTTCAGTAATGTTAGCTTTTGGCTTCATCTTTATAATTCCTGAAATTGGCATGAATCTTGCCAGGCTATTATCTTAATTTTTTTTAAGCTTTTTAAGTCAGCATTAAAATGAGTTATAACTTTGATTGGCACAGCTCTTGGTTTAAATGTATGTTCCCTTTTCTTGGTGACCTGAGTAGATAATAAAATGTGAAATGTATTGATTTGCGATTTTGTCTCTGAAATGTATTCCACCGGCTTCCCCCAAGGACTTCAAATAAGTCAGTGTTACATGAGCAGTGATTTAGTCTGGAGTGAGACGGCTTCCCCAGGTGTATCCTTATTGTAATGTTTTCTTTGTATCTGGTATCCTAAATGACCTGATGCATGTGTCTTTTTATAGAGTTGTAATATCTGTGTTTTTGGCAGTGTTATATTTGATTTAAAAAAAGGTTTTCTGCTTAAATAAGCGATTTAGTATTGTTCGTGGCATTTTCTTTAACCACAACTGTGTCAAATAGCAGCATCCCATGGTGAGGAAATTCATATTTTCTCTTTTTTACTGGAGGCAACCTCTATGAAATCCTTATCCACGGTTAACCTTGCTGCTTGGTAATTTTGCGGGCTGTTTTGCAAATGTCACTCACAACACAGCGTCTCTGAACTCTGAGCTAATGCAACAGTGCACCTTCCTGACTTCTCTCTAAAAGAAAAACAGCGTGGGTGATTTAACCGAGGGCAGGAAAATAATAAACAAAGAGACCCATCGTTTACTTTAGATTATAAAAAGCCCTTCTCAGAGTATTCCCCTCGCTGATGAAAGTCCCGCAGACACAGGCCGGGTTCTCGTAGTGAGGTCAGAGGAACCGGGCAGGTTAACATCGTATCCATCACCCTCTGAGTAGCAATAAAGATGCAAATTGAGTTTTCACTTTACACTTCAGGAACAGTGGTGGATCGTTTGTTTGTCAATTCAACAGTGCACATTAATAAATAATGGCATTTTAAAATATATATTATTACCAAATGTAAATGCTCCGAGCGTAGCTCACGGTGATTTTCATCTGAAGTTTCTGTGCACCTGACAGCTTTAATTACAGTTGTGGGTAAAGCTATTAAAAACATTTTACTTATTTACAAGGATGGTTGAGCCCTCCAACCCATTGTGGTTGCATATCAAAGCTCCACTAAAGGACAGGTCTGCAAAAATTTGGCACTCTCCCATATTTCACATACAAAATATTAGTATTAATTTTAGAACATATATGACTCAAATAAATACGGATGAGGATTAAGGCCACGTGTTAATTTTTCTTTTAGATCTGACCACAAGAGATTTTCTTTTGTTTAAGTTCTTAGGAAATTCTCAGAATTCTTACTCTTTCATCAGAAATCCGATTTGTTTAATACATTTTTCTGACTTCTCAGAATTCTGACTGTCACTTTGGGTCAGATCTAAAAAAGATTATTACATCTGGCCGTCCTCTTTCATAAATAAGTGTGAAATTCTGATAAATTAGTTATGCCCCTTACTTTTCGTGTTTGACGCCTATAATCTAATTGTGTCTAAAAGGGGGTCAAAAAATCAAATTGATGTCATATGCCTCCTAGACATGTATTTAACAGTAAACGCAGCAGCAGAAAGGTTATCCAAAAATAACATTATCATTTTTGGAATAAGTTATTGCTATTGGATGGTACAGACAGACTGCTTTCCTTGCTGGAGTCAGTGATGCATATGTTGTGGTTCAAACTCTGAGTAGATTTACAGAGAGGCATGTGCATGAAGGTGAACTCTGTCAAGACATGTTTATCTCCTCTGAGAATGATGTGTGTCCCACATGTGCTCCCCCATGTGCCACATACGTTTTTCACCCTGTGAGCAGGAGGGTCTGGTTAATGGACAGACCTTGTTTACTGCTGATCATGCTTTATTCACATCACCGTGGCACATCGACCCATGGGCTCTGTTTCAGTTGTCAGAGCAACAGCATGAGCGCTGATGTCCCCATGTTGGTGGGTCCTTAAGTGATTTACAGGCGTCAGTGAGAGAGGGGGGGGGGGGGGGGTGAGAGAGAGAGAGAGAGAGAGAGAGAGAGAGAGAGAGAGAGAGAGAGGCAAACAGAGTGAGACCGTGCGTCCACAATGAGACGGCTAATTTTGAAGACGTGATTTATGTTTACCGCACAGAAACACTTAAACAAGAAAATAATGAATAAATCAACCTTTCTTTGTTCTATACAACAACACCGTGCATCACAGTCAAACTCTGGTATTGAGGCTGAGCTAGTTTTACTCTTCTTAGTTCCCTTCTGCTTTCTGTAATCACCTTTTCTTCACTTTATACGGACTCCTGATTTATTTGCCCTTCATTTACATATTTTTCTGTTTCTGTACATCTGAATTACCACAAAGTGCTTTAGGGGTCATTAAGCTTCCTTTCAAACCATGCAAACGCATTGCTGCATCGAGTCAGACAATCACTTTATGATTGAGGAGTTTTGCAATATAAAAACAAAGACATGAGCCACCGTATTGCAGTGGTCCTTCACTAAGATGAACATAAAACACTTTGGTTTACTTAAAGTTGATCCATTCTTAACAAAAAGTACCAAATGTGTATTCCACCAATGAAAATAGAAAACATCTGTTGAGATACTTTTACAAAATTAAACTAAAAGTTATTTTTGTTGTCGGTTTTCAAATATGTATGTCTTCTGTAGGGATATGTCTGTGCTTGGGAGTGCAACAATCAGAGTAAAGAAGTTAAATTGTATCGATGGACTGTCTTACAAATTGTTGTTTTTCTATGTTATTTGTTGACAATAAGAACAATTATTTTCCTTTTTCCTTACTGCCACACAAACCTTAACCAAGCTTATGCCATAAGGCCCAAAAAGATTTTCAATATGGCATTTTCAGTTTGATCAACTGTCTAAAAAACATGGCCTTAAACTCTTAATTATAATTGTCATATATTAGAAAATGTGGTCATTTGCACATTTCCGCAGGGGTCAGTCTGGAGAGACCTAAATTACGCAATAAAAAGTATGAGAATAAAAGAAACCACCTGTGAGCGCGTTTGAAGTGTATGCAGGACTTTAGTGTGGATGAAGGGTCAGATCAGAAAACATTTTTTTTTATATTTTGTTGGCTTAATTTGGACATACTAAAATACAAAGATGCAAGACAGGCGTATACCCTACAGAAGAGTGCAGTCATACAGAGAGCCTGAAAGAGTGTGAAGCCCAAACTGAACAAGCGTGGTTACTTCAATCCAATCTGATTAGCATGTGTCAGTCAAATTCAAATTGACTAGCAGCTGAGGTCTTCCATCAGATGGTTTCCTCAGTTAGTTTAAGCCATGGAAAAGCTGCCAATGTGTCAATTCCAATCATGTGCAGAATTCAATCATTACACGCTATGTTACTCATGTGTCCATCATTTATTATTGCGCATTAAACCCTTCAGTGTTCTGCTAGTAAAATATGAGTCCTCACCTCACTCCCTCCCAATCTCTCCGTGTTGGCCTTGCTCTCTCTCCCTTTCCCTTTGTCCGTCAATCTGAAAAGAAAAAAAAAACAACACAGTTGAATCTCCAAGTAGCTCATGTATATCCGGAGTGTGTGACTGTGTGTATGCTTTGTGTACATCATTTGTAAGTCCATGCATGTACCTATGCTTCACATAGTCCCTTTGGTTGTGTAAACACTCCAACATAGATAATGTGAGAGAAGTAAGTGCCAGTGATACATGACTAACAGAGCATAACATTAACTGTCACATCCAATAGATCTAGTGACTGCAGGCAGAATGAGAAAGTGTGTGTGTGTGTGTGTGTGTGTGTGTGTGTGTGTGTGTGTGTGTGTGTGTGTGTGTGTGTGTGTGTGTGTGTGTGTGTGTGTGTGTGTGTGTGTGTGTGTGTGTGTGTGTGTGTGTGTGTGTGTGTGTGTGTGTGTGTGTGTGTGTGTGTGTGTGTGTGTGTGTGTGTGTGTGCGTGCGTGCGTGCGTGCGTGCGTGCGTGCGTGCGTGCGTGCGTGCGTGCGTGTGTGTGTGCCATTGCAAGAGAAGTAGATGTTTATGTCCAATATATGTGTGTATTTTGATGAAGGATTGTGAATACAAATGTGTGCAACTGTGTGTGAGTGTGTGTGTCAGACGAGTGCAGAGAGTGGGAAGCAGCTGTTTCATGCTCGGGATAACAAAAAGAGGGAAAAACCTTCTGTCCTGGTTGTCATGGCAGCAAAAAAAACAAACAGCCCCATTTGGTACCAATTGGTAATAAAAGTTGCTGATAGATGGAGGAGAGTGAGAGCTGGAGGCTCTGTTTTTTTAAGGTTGTGTGTGTGAGTGAAATCTTGTTCAATAAGTGTCCTGAGGACAGGCTGAGAGGATATCGAGCTTCGAAAAAGATGAAGCTTATCGGTCTTTTGTTCAGTGGGAAAACATGCAACGATCATAAAATATGTCTTTGTGCTGAAGCTTATTTGAAATCTCTGTTATATTGTCGGTGACCTGTGGTTGCCCTGCTGCCTCAGGTTGACTGTCTACTTTCTTCAAATGAGTTCAATGAAACCTCACAGTCACAGAGTACCAACTGTAACTGTACTGAAGCTTAACCTTCATCTATTGCCATTGAAGTAAGGCAATGGCCTCGTTTAATTTAAAAAAGGGTTACTTTAGCTTGCATATACAGTTCATTTTTCAAATGTTTACCATACAGCAAATACATTTAGGCCTATCTGGTATTGATCTTGTGAAGTAATCTTGTAGAGAAAAACCTTTTCCTGTTTTGTATTAAATATAAAATTAACTGTTTTCTACTTTTCTTTCCCTCAGTGAATTTTGACCACTTCCAGATCCTGAGAGCAATAGGAAAAGGAAGCTTTGGAAAAGTAAGTCTATGTCTTGATACATATATGAAACATATATTTATTAATGTCCCAAGGGGAAACTAGTTTAGTAAGCTATGGGCAAAGACTGATGAAGCACATACAACAGCACAATACTAGTACTGACACACAAACAAACACACATTCAAGGAGAACATAATTCATACCGTAGTATTTCTCAGGAGAGCCTGCCAGTTCAATAAGCTCAAACATATAACAATATGTGAAAAAAACATCCAATATAAAAGACCAGTCCCTAGACGAATAAATATGCAATACGTATACAATGTTGCCTTAAAAACATATTCAATCTTGTGTACTGTATATTAAATATCACAATCCTCACGTGATTCAAGGGGTGCAAATCTTTTTTGTTTCATCACGCATTAATTTGCCTATTTTCTATATTTCTCAGTTAATCTTTGATATCGTCAAATACATTGTTTTGTCTGAACAATATTCCAAAATCTCAAGATGTTGAATTTACAGTTAAATTAGACAATAAGCAGCTGCATATGTTCACAATGTTGAAGCTGTAGGCAGGGGAAATTAAGCTTGAAAAATGATATAGTGTAAACTAAGTGGATAACGGGCAACATATTGTCAGTATAAAACCAACATAGTCTAGTATAGCCTTCCAGTTTAATTTCCTTCAGACCAACCAACAGCTTGCAGAAACACATCTGAGTCGATTGCAGTCATGTGTCCTCTTGCTCTTAAGTCATAAAGTGCAGAGCAGGTCACAGCAGCACTTATAGTAAGCACATATAGCGATGCACACTCACATGCACACAGTCCCACAAAGCATCCACACTCCAACAACAGATAAGCAGTCTAATCACAGAGGATGGAAAGCTGTTCAATGGGAGGAGTGATGTGATCAGGGTTTGGCTGATTAACTGTGCCAGCTGCTCCACAGATCATTCCCTTAGATAGCAGTAATCACTGGCTTATTGACATGTGTAGCAGACAAACACTTGGACAAATAAATATGGGGAAAAACTCCTTTGCATATTACAAATAGTGTCCATTCTTAGACACATTGTTAAAAGGGTTGAAATGTCATGCATTAACAGCTAACACTGCACCAGGTGTTATGTTCTCCGTTTTGCTGCGTCACATAAGTACTGCAATTTATTTCCACTGACTTAAATACACTGAAAGTGCTGTTGGAAAGCATTTTATGCAAGAAAGCAAGCAAGAGTTTATTTGTATTTCCAGGTGGAAGCACAATTTGCTGCGAGACTTGTGAGCAACTGCAGCCTCAAACACTATTTAAAAAGTTAAATTATGTAACATTGGACAATCTAACACAATACAAAAGATATTAAAGACACATGTAGGTTGAAACCATTAACAAAATTTAATTTATTATTATAATGAATTATTTATCATTCGGTTTATAAACAGGAGGTTAGAGATGTGTCTTTAGCTACAAATAACAGATGGGGGTAGAGTGAGACATTTTGAAATTACATTTTTAATACAATACATTTTTATCGAAGAGAAATGTCTATGTAACAATACTGTTAGTGAGGACTGCAGTCTTTACTGTATGAATGGATGTTTGCAGAAAGCAAAGTATGTGTCACCTTGAACAGCCTTGAAAGAACTGAAGGCTTAGCCTTAGACTAACATATACAGGCAGAACACGAACACATTATTCCAACCATGTTGAGCACAGACGTGAATTAATGGACCCCTTTGTGATCTTATCATCAGGTCTGCATTGTGCAGAAGAAGGACACTAAGAAGATGTACGCCATGAAGTACATGAACAAGCTGAAATGTGTGGAGCGGAATGAAGTGAGGAACGTCTTGAAAGAGCTGCAGATAATGCAGAACCTTGAGCACCCTTTTTTGGTCAACTTTTGGTAAGTCAATGTGCTTAAGTGAATGTGGGGTTGTCTATCAATTAATGGGGACATACCATTTAGCGCTTGTGCTGTGACATTTGTGTATTTGGAGTGCGTACTAACCAACATAAACTGCAGAAAATACAAACCCCTTCCTATGTCATATGCAGGCTCAGTGGATTAATACCAGCCCCTATCTGAGTATCTCCACCTATAGCATGAAAACGACCTATGCAAAGGTGTACCATGTTTTTTCTCGCAAGCCAATCAGAGCAGACTGGGGCTTTTCATGAGGTGAGCTTAAAGCGCCAGGCACTGAAATTGGGCGTTTTAGACAGAGAGTGAAAATAGTATGCAGACAGACAGTATGACAAACATTAAAGTGTGTAAACATGTTCCAGTCAAATCCCAGAATACAAAAATGAACCTGAGAATTAGCACAATATGTCCCCTTTGGGTCTGTGAGGTTTTTTTGTTAATGACAAATAACCCTAAATCCTTCCTTACTTAGTGTTTAAGAAATAACTCTAGCTTATTTTTGTATTCAAACTGACATCCACTGAGTGACTTTGACGGAATAAGCCTCTCAATCCCTTAAACATGAATATAAAAAGCAGCTGTGTAACATTTTAAGCACACTAGAAATGGCTTCCACTTCAGCAGATTCGCCTTCACAAAGGCTTGTATACACTGGTTATTGCCATCAGCCGTAGCAGCCACTTGAATGATTTTGTAGTTCATTTTGTGTCAACCACATGATTTTTATAGTGACCATGGACCATACTGTGTCCATAAAACATGTGAATGCACACAGACACATAGAGAGACCATGTGCTGTTAAAGAAAGCTCTGGATTGAGTCTCTAGATGCATTCAGAAAGGTGTATTTGCCCACTCTCAAGCCTCTGCGTCATCATCTCACTCTTTGAAGTTGCTAAAAGGAAAATGTAGTTTGTTCACTGATCCAAGCTCCACTTTTATGGGCCCAACTCTCCTCTCTCGGCAGCTTCTTGTTTGCCTCAGTGCATTTGAGGGCCGAGGACGTCTTAGCCTCAACACTGTACAAGCTTATTTCAAAAGCAATTGCTAATCTAAGATGACTCATCAGGTATTTAACTAACTCATTCATCATAATTTGAAAGCCTGAGCTTATTTAGCACCAGGAATCGTACTTTTGAGATCCCTGATAAGTATGGCTTGTTAAGTTTCAGTCTGAAAGGCGTCATTAATTCTTGATAAGCACTCCCAACGTTTGAGAGGAAGCGGTTTTCTTTCTGTCAAGCAGAGAGGCAGAGAGGAGGGAATGTCTGTGCAAGCACGACAAAGAAACTTCCAAAGACGTAGACTTTTGTGTTTTATTAGTATTATATATAATTCCTTTTTTTTGTTTACAGGTTAACTTCTTGCCCATTTTGGTTCAGGCAGCTCCCTGTAAAATAATCTGCAAATGTGAACAATTCAAAGAGATTATATTCATTGGATAGGATTGTCCAACCTTTGTCTTCTGTCCCACTTTTCTGTCCTCTATTCACCTACTTCCCTTTTCTTCCATTTCCATTTAATATCTTTTTGAAAGCTTTGTTTTATAACTAGTTTGGGGGAAACAAAACTCTTCCCACAGTAGGAATGAATTAGAGAAGACAAACAGTGAGAGGAAGAGAAAGGACAGCGAGTCGCAGGAAAAGGGAAAACAGGCACAGAGCAGAGAGGGAAAACCACTGAGGAGGTGCACAGAGGATAGAGAGATGTGTAGTGGACGGGCTCATCAGACAAACAATGCCAGCGCTTGCTTTCTTGCTTGATTGCATGCTGTGTTGGACAAAAGAAAATTGTTGGAAGTTAATGCTTTTGGCAGCGTGAATCCCCCTGGGTGGAGGTGATTTCCTCCAGAGATGTGCTTGGGTCAGCGCTGTGTCCCTCTCTCTTTCTGTCTCTCTTACTGTGTTGACTTGGCATAAGTTATGATTGTACAGAGGTAAGCATTCAAGGTCAGCCGATTACCCGCAGGCATATGGACATCACTGAGCCACCTGCATGCAGGAAACCAGGCTTTGTTTTTCTTCTTCTGTCACTCTCCTCCTCTGTCCTCTTTTCTTTCACCTCTTCCTCTCCTCTCTCACCACCTGCTTCTCTTCCTTTGCTCCCCTCTTGCTGTCAATGCTACTGGGCATGACCTCAGGTGTCTGTGCTCTGCGTGCAGCCAGGCAACTTCACACTTTGAAGACAGGAGCAGAACAAATAAAAAGAAGTTCTAAACAAGTCATTGTCCCTCCAAACTATTTAGCCTGATATTAAAGGTCCCCTATTATACTGTTTTTTATCAATATATTATAGGTCTCAGATATATACAAAACATGTCTCTGAAGTGTTTGGCTCCAAATACCAAACAGATCACCCATTGTAGCATCCCATAATCCCCTCTGTTTCAGCCCTGTTTCAAAAGTGCTGATTCTCTGTCTGTTACTTTAGATGAAAATAAGGAGCCACTCCCAACGCCCCTCTGAGAGATATTTGGTTAAAAAGAACACAATGGTGCTCTAGGAGGAGATTCAGGTGATAAGGTGGGCGGGTGTTACCTTGGTTGGTTATTGGCTAATGGTTACACAAGCCAAAAAAATCGTTATGACATCATAAAGTGGCCAAAATCTGATCAGCTCATTTTCAGACAGGTTTTTATATAAATGGATCAGGACAAAAAGTGAGCGAATATTTTTTCCTGAAACTTCCAGAATCTCTTTACACAGAGGGGACACATGTTTATGTATAAAAGACATGAAAAAGTGGATTTTGCATAATAGGTGACCTTTAACTTGGTGATTTTGAAGAATCTTAACATCCCGCATTGTGGTCCGGTCAGTGTATGGTTGTGCCAGCTGTGGTAGGGCAGACGGTTGTGCCTGCACTGCACTACAGTATGTCCCACTGTGTAAGAGGAGCCTTTAGACAGGAGCCAGAGACAGACACAGACAGGGAGAGATTGCTACCAGCATCAGATGCTGCTGTTTTCAGCTTTCTGTCTTGCTGCCTCTTTATCTGCAGATTTTGCAGGTGATTTGTTTGTTTGCAGTAGAATGTTACAGAGGAAGAACTTCTTGAAAATATGCTTGTGGAAAAGTTGGGGGAAAATAGAGACAAACAACATCTTTGTGTACAGCATGTGTGTCCTTCATTTAGTAACCAAGAAAACACAAGAAAAGTGTTGGAATTTCAAAATTCTAAGATTCTAGGATTAGGAATAAAGAAATAACTTAGTTATAAATATCTGCAATATATTTTGTTTCTCTTCCATGATCATGTTCATTGCCAATTTTTTATTTTATTATGGTTAATAATTCACAAATGATCTGCCTTTTAACAGTGTACAATTCACTTCATTCCAGCCCATCAGCCATGTCTAACCTCTGTGAAAAGTAATGCCATGATGCAACATGCTTTTATAAAAGTCATTTCATAACTGTCAAAGGGAAAAGAAGAACATTAACAAAAGTCTGAGTTACTGTGGAGTTCAGGCTTCACTTGCTTTAGGGAGTCCCTCTTTTTTGTTAAGTTATTATGCAATCTCACTAATGCAGTCCATTTCTATGCAGAGCAAAACATCATTCAATGTTACACTAGATAGATAGATTGATGGCTTTTATTGCACCACAAAGGGAAGTGTACTTCTCTCAGGTCAGTACTAACAGACAATACATGTTACATATTAATCCCCATTCAAACAAAAATAACGTATGTCTCACAAAGGCAATGATTTTCGAAAGAAACCAAGAGAAGAAATCCTCCAAGCATTCGGACATAAAAGATCTAGTTCACCTTATGTGTTGTATTGCACTGGCATTATAGTTTTCTAAAATATAGGGTATATTTTGAATGAATGGCATAAGATAAACTAAGGTTGATCCCAGAGCCCATATTACAAGTTAGTAACGCTAAGATGTTATTGTAAATAAGATACAAACTCTATCCCTAGGTTTATACAAATGTGCACTACAGTCCCATTATACTTTAAATGCGGCAGCCATTGCTGAACACCAGAAAGCATCATGTCAGCATGTCAAGTATTTGGATTTATGTCAAGGTGACTTGGGGAAATTTGAGATCATACAATCAGTTGGGTTAGGAACAAAAAGTAATTGTTGGTTGACTATGTGTGGATTTTAAGTATATATTTTACAGGTGATAATTAACTTTCTGAGCTTTCAGTAAGAGATGAGTGTCTGTAATTTGGCATTGCTGCGTCTGTGTGTGTGTATTCTCGTGGAGCATTAGACACAGACTGATGGGAGCTGTCACTCAAAGGAGGATGTGGGAGATTGGTTGGAGGAAGGTCCGAGGGCTGTCGGCATCGATCCAGCATGTCACAGTCTGAGAGGCTGGCCGGCTGTGTCGGTTTCAGCATGGGGCTTTAATCCGAGTGTGTGTGTGGAAATGTGTGTGTGGGCTCATGTATGAATAGTATTTCTACTCAGTGTAATTGCGATACATTGTGTAGAACAACATATTCGTGACTAGCCATTTATTGGTGTGGATTCATGCATAGATGGTAGCACAATCACTATAGTTAACATTAAGGAGGTTTGTTTCATTTATTATATAAAGGTATTTAGGCTATGGGTTATGGGTAACTGAGCGGGAAAAACAAGTCCTTATTCAGGAGAACAATATCATTACACTAATTTAAGGCTGGGTAATATGCCAATTTTGATGAGACTATATATTATTGTAGATTCTATATCTTTTTATTTCACATTTCTTTAAGAAAAAAATACACTATAATTGACAAGTAGGTTTCAGCATTGCAATTAAAAGTGAAGATTTGCACACATTGTAAAAGACAGAATACCTGTCTTTCTGGATTTAAATACAGTACTCTAGTTTAAAAAAGGCTAATTATTATAAATACGTTTTTATCATGTATACAAATACTAGTTGTAGGTTAAGTATTATTTCAATTACCAGTGTATCCACACATGTATGTTCTGTTACCTTTGAAAGGGAGAAGGACATGTTAACAAAAGCTGC